TTCGAAAGGGACTTGTGGCTCTGTCACAAAAAATCGTTGGGCCGTGTTCTATCATCCAAGGAGCTCTGCCGAAAATCCTCCGAGACACTCCAAACGAGTACTTTGAACACAACCGACGAATAATATCCCGAAACGCTGGCATAGTGAATAAAAGTCTAAAAGGGGTTAAAGGGGTGCATTGCCTCAAACCTCATGGAGCTATGTACATGATGATCAGTGTAGATAAGACACTCTATGGGGATGATATCCATTTTTCGTCCAATCTCATTCAGGTTTGTCCACCTCTTAATTGGTCTATTTTGCAACTATATCGGCCTCTATTTAGGAAGAATCCGTGTTCTGCCTCCCCGGGACCGCGTTTTCTTCCCCTGGCTGGATTCGGCTCGTGCTCACCCAAACAGAAGAAATCTCACAAGAAGCAGCGCTACGAATCCGATCCTTCTGTGAGCGACACCTGGATGATTTGGCTTTGGCAGATATTGGAGAATCGTCCGATGAGGGTTGTGACATATCAAATAGCGAGCCATTTTGAACGAGTAGAGCGTTTACTGTACGTATATTATAGAAGTAAGTGAAGCTTTGGATAAGCTTACTAAAAATTTAATTGTACATAACTTGGTGAACTATGTGATGTATGGTCAAATTTATATCTTGAACATCTCAATTTTTGCTTTTTCTTTTTTCTTTTTATAGGATTGGGACAAATGGCTCTTCCTTGTACTTATGTAATTAATTTATGATCTTCTCCTTGTTTCACGGTGATTTCTTTCTAATCCTTTTTTCTTTTCTTGGTGATCTTGTGCATTCCTTTGATGTCGATATGAATAACTCCTTGAAGAATCGATGTTGCAGGATGACTAACAAAACAATATTTTCAACAAATCAAAAAACAAAAGGTAAAAAGTTGAGTATAAACCAAAATCGCTTGCAACTAACAATAAATATGGATACGTTATCAGGCGACTAATGAAGCATGCTATGTATGATTGATTATAGAGAATTTATGAACTATACATATTTCCACTTCTGAGGGTTTGATAAAACTTCTTTGGCAAATTTTAATCCTTTTAGCCTTGAAATTGCCTAAGATCTGATAAACCGAAAAACGAAATGTCAACAGGGCATCAATACTTCTAAAAGAACTATTAATTACAACTGCGCCCCCGACAGACATTAACACAACACGTGGACTACGAGGATGCTATTCGTAACCTTTCTGCGTAATAATCGTTAGTCATAGAAGGTTTTCAGTTGATGTGTGGTGCAAGTGATCGCACTGGTCGGTGACGGATAGGTCTATAAATTGTGTATTGTTTATCCTGATGTAGTGATTAAATGCTTCAAGAGTTTTATTAAAACTATCAGTAATTGTCAGCTACAATAATGGGTGCTTTATTTTAAAAAACCCACAGAAACAATAAGATTTAGTTTTTATTAAGGAGTTTAGGTCGCCTTCCACACTATTTTTATTAATGGTGTTTTTAAATTTAGGGTTACTTCTCTTCATTTTCATTGTAAAAGAACTTAAAGTCAAAATTTATAAAAAAAATGTTTGGTTCAACACACAAACCTAAGGAACTAAAGACTACGCACTTTTTTCTCTCCATAGAAG